GGTTAATGTTTCATGTGATTGAATATATATTGCTAAGTGTTGAATTCTCAGGAAGTTCAGCCAAAGACACCTGCAAATTTTGAGGCTTAGCCCTTGAAAGAATAGTCAGAATCATGGCATACAGGGGAGGATGTAAAAAATAAATATAAGGGGGAAGTTTCTTCAAATTTGAAATGAGTACATGTGCATCTCCTTTCAGTAATTTCCTTAGCCATCCTGAGGTAAAATCCTTTCAATGTTCATTCAGATCTCAGTACTAGATTCAAGCTGCAGCCCTGCCACACTAAATATCCTCTGTTCCTCCACCATGTTCCACTGTGGTCCTGCTGCAGCAGCAATATTAGCAGTGTCAATATGAATTATCATTTCTTCTTTCTTTAAATAACATGCCAAATGCTGCTGCAACTCGTCATGGGGTTAGCACTGATCAGAGTTTCTGCTTAAAAATCCGGTTGGTACTCATTTAGTGACTGATATCAGCAGGGATGAACTTGATTCTTATTTTCCACAACATTAGTTGTCTCTGTTTGAGGAGAAACATTTCAAATTATCTAAAGCACAAAGCAATGGAGGGATACTGTTTTTCTCCACGTATGCATAGCTCCATACCATAGATATATTCACACATGGTAAAACACCAACAGAGTGGTTATGCAAAGATTCTTCTCCGTTACTGTAGGCTGTTAAGTGTATGTAGCCAGGACAGTACCAGAAAGATTTAAATATAACCTTTAGAAACAGTTTTGCTTGATTAGTGGGATTTATAGGGGATGGGTGGTGGATGTGAACTAATTTTCTGTTAAAATACAATGTGATACTTGTGGGTTAATTCTGTTCACATAAGTGTGGAACAGCAATCCTTCCTTGAGAGGTTAATAAAAAAAAAATGCTTACTATAGCACCCCAAAACTTCAAGCTCTTTTTGTCTCAAATGAGTTAATAATCCCACCATCCAAAACTCAATCATTCTTTATTCCCTGGAGCACTCGGTGTCTTTTTGAAGCAGTTTCTCAGAGGATTTTCTAATCAGTTTCCCAGAGCTCGTTATTATAAGGGCATGAACTGTGAGAATAGGGCTGTAACTGCTGTACACAGGTGTTTTTACTCTCTCATCCTCATGGTCAGGACATTTCATTTCTGAGAAATGTCAGAGGTACAGTAATAACTTATAAAGTTGTGCTGGTTTTACGTAGAGTACAGAATCTTTCCTGCATCTAGTCATATCCTTGGCTAGACCCTCCTTTCTCCAGGAATAGACTGTCTTTAGTCCAGCCTATCTTTGGCTGACTGTTAAGACTGGCAGCTCCTGGCCAAAAGAAACATCTTTTCTCCTAGTTTAGGGTGTACAGCTATCCTTAGCTTCACCACACACACTAGTCTTCCTCTTGTGTGGGAGCCTAACCATGTAGACGTGTTTATTCTGATCTGTGGCAGTTGTATCCGAATGGGTGACTTTGGTGAGCTCTTATGAGCTACACGTTTATTTCAGGGATGATAAAAGCCTGAAGTTATAAAGACATGGAACAAGGTTACTGTCTCAGAGAATAGAATTTATGAGAAGAAAATCTTTCCAGCGTTTCGCTTTGCAGCCACCCTTTGGGAGTCCTAAGGCAAAGAGACAGGATCCCACTACTATGTGGAAAACTCCTCCACTTCTCTAAAAATTTTGCATTATTTTTATAATTGTTTTTCCGACAGGTTAAAAACTCAAAAATATTTGGCTTTATCCCTACTGGCAATAGATAAGGTGCAGAATGGATCCCAGCTGGAGCCAGCAGCTTGCACGAGTGGCTGAGGAGGCATAGGCAAGGCCTGGAATAACAGCCCCCCAGTCCCACAAAGGGCAGCCCTGGAAAGCACCAGTGACCAGGAGCGTGGGGACCAGGTCAGGCAAACAGGGCCTGATGCCTCAGCTAAGGTGTGGAGTGGCAGCTTGCATGGAAGGGCACCTCTTTGAAAGTGGGGCATTTCACTAGCCAAGTGAAAAGACTTGTAGTGCACATAATCCAGCAACCAGACATGTTCTGTGATCATCTGCACAGGTCAAGGACCCTCACCCTACTTGATCCCCAAGGCAGGTGCTCAGCCAAGAGCAAAGGGTACAGCTCTGGTGGGGGAGTTTGCATCATCTACCTCAGCAGTGGCTGATGTCTCCACACAGATGGAGCTGGTGAAGGGAGAGGTTCCAGTGCAGACTTCAGGCTGAAAGAAGTTCCAAGACCTTTTTCCTGGATCAAGGGCAGAAAAAGGCTACTGCCTGCCAAAGGTGTGCCCAGGTAGAGGGCATCCTGTGGCAGGTGGCTGAGCTGCAGGTGGTTTGAAGGCTGCATTACACTGGGGAGGCTGAGAAGGAGTTAGCTGGTTCCAAGTGTAGTGTGGATGGCCCCATAGCCCAAAACCAAACTTTTGGGCCCCGCAGCCTGAAAGAAACTGCTCCACTGGCACACACAGAAGGGAGAGGATCCAGTAATGCAGAAGAATGGTAGCTCATAATGTCAAAGACGTCCCCTGATGCCTAAGGTGCCCTTGCAGAACCCCTTTACTGCTCTGCAGACTGAATAGGAAAGACTTCTGTGCCTCTCTTTTTAACCCCACTGAAGAATTCCTTCTTTTCAGGTATTTTGTCACATTTCTTGTTAGTAACTTTTTTAATACAAGACCGGTGCTTAAATTTCTCAAACTGTTAACATGATAGCAGGATTAACATTTTTCTCCATTTTACTTACGTAAGTACTTGATATTATGGAAGCCTATTTCTTTTTGGTTTGCTTGGGTACAGAGCTTTATTTCCATGAGAGAAACACATTTTTCCTGGAAAGTCTTAGAGTCACATTTTGAAAGAAGAAATTGCAAAACTGATTTAGTGCATAAATCAGAGAAAATATTTATTTACAGACATGTAAAAATTATGTTACAAATTTTAAAGAAAGCTGTAATGAACCATCAATCTGCTCTGCATGGGCAAACTCTGAATGTTTTAATTCCATATTGCAGTGGCACCAATTAAAAACAGGACTGCTTACAAGATTGTAGCTATCTACATTGTTCAAGTACTGTGATTTTTCAGAACTAAAAATGGAAATATAGAGAAAACTAATAAGAATTGAAACAAGAGTTTACAAAAGTGAAAGTATTTCTTCTTGATCCGAACTGTAAAGCTTTTTAATAAATATGTTCCATCATGCAGCTGCACATGGTTGAAACAAATGTCTGAAATACACAGAGCATATAGGTCCGTGTAGAAAATGAATTGATTTGATTCAGGTCTGTCCATAAAGGATTTTACAAGACTGTTGACTATCGAAACTGATTGACAAGATCTTTTCTGTTTCTTATTGTTCCATATTGCAAGGGATGAGCAATGTTAAAAAAATCCCACAATTGACATAACTCATGTAAAACAACACAGGTAGTGGTGGCAAACAACACCGAGCATACCACACACATGAGCAGCAGAGAACTATCAAGCTCTGTTGAAGCTACCAGCATCCTCTGCAGTGATTTTAAGCAAACATGCCATTGAGAAACCTTGCTAGGAACAGACTGCATGACATAACAATCTTCGGGCTTGCAAATGAAATAGTCCTTCATGGTGTTATGAGAGGTGTCTTTTTGTGTTCAAAATATATTCAGGACTTGAACTGTGGTGTGAAACAGTGTCAATATTATGAATGTGCAATTATTTCTGTGAGTTTATAATCTAAGGGTAATGATTGTAAAGAATGTGTAAAAATCTAAGAGTGCTTTCTCTGAGTATTAGCTCATTTGGAATGGAGGTGGTGAAGAGATGGTATACCTAGATGTTGCTCATATCTGGTTTATTAACACCAATATCAGAACTGATCTCCTTGGATGACATTCTCCATCTCTTAAATCAGCCAAAGGGAAAATGCCCCCTGAGCTGCTAAGGTTTGGAGTTCTTTTTTTTTTAACTGTCAGACAAAGATGGAGGTCCCAGAATGGCAATTCTTATTGCATTTTTAGAGTTAAGAATGATCATAACCTATATTAATAGATAGAAAGTGGAGAAGTATTTCACCCTCTGATTTTACCTAACATTTCACTTACACAGAAGTAATTTTTTTTTTCCTATACTTTTCCGGGACATTCAGCCTTGGTAAATTCTGAAGCTGTGATTCTTTATTCTCAAGTAAAACTACTTATTCTAGTCTTTCCTTAATTAAGTAGCTAGGTACCACTCAGCACTTATGTAAACCATGTAACTCCACAGACAATAGACAAGCTAAATATAAGGTACACAAACATAACTGTGAGTGCTATGTCACATAGTCACCTAGTGAAGAAATTTCCCACTCAGTAATAGATAATTAAATTCAAACATATGCTTTTCTTCCAAATTTTTTGAAGAATATCAGTCTGTCTTTGATGATGGTCCCCATGCCAGAAACCTGACCAGAGACCTTGAGCTCCCACCTCCTCATACCTCCACTATTTGAGGTGAACCTATCATGTCAGAAACTGCTTTTTAAAATAAAAATTTAAAGTTCAATCTTTTAAAGAGTCTCTCTGGTATCTTTTGTTTTCTCTTGCTTTCAGCCTACAGAGAATGATTGAAAGGGCAAGGCAAGAGTTCATCTTTGTAGTGCTAGATGATCCCAAATACCAAACACCTCTGGTCATGGATATCAGTGGATGTCAGGGCTCCGTGCTGCAGACTGGAACATAGCTGGGTCTGAGCTCCATTTGACTGCCTAAGATACTTCCTAAAATAATCCTTTTCCCCTTGAAAAGCTGTAGTTACTAAATGATTTATTTCCCTACAATCACTTTAAATATATGTCTCTTTCTATAGGACTATATCTCACATAAAGATGTATATGATATATTCCTTGTTTCATGTCATCTGCAGTGCTAAGGAGGTCTGACTTTGGGGTGGTGAACTAGTTGGTACTTTTATTAGAGAAGAAGACCTTGTGCCCATATCATATATGCTTTGATACCCTTAATGTCTTAGTAACACGAGAGAAATAATGTATCCATTCTGTTGGAAAGGAAATATGATTTATTAAGAAATTCTATACTGAGATTCCCCCTACATCTGTAATAATTAATTATTCCAACTTCAAGCTTTTAGGAGAGATTTAGAAGTTTGTGAGTGAAAAGACTACTGCCAGAAAACAACCCAAAAAATAATAAGTAAGCTAACTCAGGCTGTCAGATATTGACAGGCTATAAATAATTTTCCTGGCTGGACAGGAGACTGACTGTCGTGTAAGCTTTCCATATGGTAACAACAAACGACCTTTAGAGATTTGCAGGAACAGCTGTAACAATGTTTGATGAATGGCACCACAGAGTGTGCTTATCTAAAGAAAGGGATTTACAGGAGGATCCAATTTACAATTTATCAAGGATGGCTCTCTTATTTTGACATTTTCACTTTTTAGAAGCTGTCCTATTACTAAACATAATTATTTCCAATGAAAAATAAATTAAATAAAATAATGGAAGATACCATACAATGTATTTAATTGTGACACTGATCATAATGGTCTTATTTGAATTAAACATTAAACAAAGAAGTGCAATATCACCTGACTCTAAATATGGTAAAACAGTAAAACATGCTAATCATAAAAATAGCTTTTAGAAATATACATTTGTATACAGTGTTTTCCACACCTGTTAAATATGTCCTTCATAATATTATGATACAGTACATTGGCCTTTAAGACATCAAAATTAAAAAAATAATACCAATAATTAGCCAGAGAAAACCACATTTACAATCTAAACCATAAAAATCTGACAATTGTCCAGCTTAGAACATATAAGAAATGGAATTTCTAATATTTGAACAGTAACGTCCATTTTAATAAGTAAATTGAGTTTCATACAAATTGAATCAAAGGTGTTGCTAGCCAGCAAGAAACCGCTGTTCACAATTTTCTGTGGGGAAGTCAGAGTTTCTCTTCTCAGCCTTCAGGGGGTTCACACATGACATCTCATCACTTGATCTGTAGAAACTGAGAAATGAAATGTTGGCTTTAGTATGAAGGCATAGAATTTCTTCCAGCAGAACCTCAAAAAGAAGCCAAGACAGCTGGGGAAAAGAGCAAAGAGGACTATGATTTCACTTTTTCACAAATCAATCAAATATCAATATCTATTAGACTTTCCCACCTTAAACCATCGAAGGCTAAAAGAAGAATAGTGTTCCTGCAGCAGTGGACAATCAGGACTGTGCAACAGTCCTGAATTAGACTGTATGGACCAAAAGAATAACAGCAAATCAAGCAAGAGCTGTTGAGGTTGAAGTATACCTCCCCTCAATAATGCTATGCAAACAACTGCTCCATAATGTCTATTTGAGCAGCAGGAAATAGAATAATGTATCTTAGCTGTTTTCCAATGAAATGCTTTATTTGCATAATAGCATTCAATCTAAATGAATTGCATGTAGAATTCTTTGCTTCAGTCCCATCACACTATTTATATACCTTACTCCATTTCTATTGACTGTGTGCTTTCAGCAATGCCTGTAGTTACCAGATTGATGGATATTTCCTCAGTGGCTTCCCTTTTGTTGTTGCCCATTTTATTATTGTTCTTATGTACATGCTGTAGGATATAATTATATATCTTCTGATTTCTTTTACCAGCCTCATTGTGGAGCTGCAAAAATCCAGTATTAGTCAATGCTTTTGAGGACCATTCTTCCAGCAGAGGAAGGAACAAGTATTATCTAAATATCTGAGTCCTATGATATGTGATCCATTAATGCTACCAGCTTCAACTAGGCAGTCAGGGATGCTTCAGGGGAGCATAAGACATACCAGCTACACCTACCCACAGAAAAACAGACAACAGTTTCCTAATCACATCTGTTTGGAAAACTGTCAGTAGAAAATGTTAACAGAAGTGTATGGTTTCCTTTTTTTTAAAGTGAAATTTTCTATCCAAGATTTTTTTTTTTTTTTAATTTTGACAGGAAAAATATCTTTCAGTCAATTTTTTTTCTTTTTTCCTTTTTGGTTCTATCTTTTTATATAACTAAGCCAGAATACAGCTGAAAAACCTGGTGCACTTCTGATCAAAGCCTGAAAACTTTCCAGATGTTCTTTTCACACAATTTCCACCTCCTTCAGTGAGTTTAAAGTCTGACTTTTTCTTCCTCATTAAAAAAAAGGGAAAATTTCTACTAAAATTTCAATTTATTGAAAACATGGTTTTCAAGTGACAAGGATTTTACCAGAAACATCAGAGTCCCTGCAGGAATGGCCTCTTGCCCTTTGAAGCATTCAGGCATCAAATTTCTCCCCTGTTGCAAAGAAAGCACCAGATTTCTGGTTGTAATCTTCTTGGATAATCAGGACTAGAGAGAAAAGCTCAAGTGAGAGATTCTGGAATTTTCTTCTTTCTGTTAAAACATCCTGAAACTATTATTCTCTACTTGCACAGAGAAAAATCTTCATTTCCTCTATTTTAGGTCTGATCCCTAGACAGATCTATCCCTATTAAAAAGATCTTTAAATTCTCCCCTTAAGTCTGTGAGAGGCCTAATGGCTGTTAAGTAGCTATTCATCTTAGAAAAAGTAAAAAATCCCACTGTACATCCTATTAGCTCCAAAGAGGGTTCCTCTTTTCTAGCCTTTTTTCACCTATGCTTTGCTCTTCCATTAAGCCATTATAAAAAACAATAATTATGCAAGCAAGAAGAGAGGCAGATTTTCAAGTTATTTATTGAAGCTTTTTTAGCTCACCATAAACCTGTCAAGCATTTACCTGTCACCAGCACTAAAGAGCTTCATTGGGTTACTATTGTGAAATGTTACTGCTAAACACATGGATCCAAGTCATTAATGCTTCTTTGCTCTTGTTTAGAACAGGGATATGAATTTATCAACCCTACCAGTCCAAAATCTTGCATTCTTTCTCCTGTACATGGGCTTCTTATTTGCCTCTCAATGCACATGATGTTAAATTCTGAGAAGAAACTTTAAAATCTGAAATAGTCCAGCTTTTATTTTGCATAGAATGATAGAAATCCTGGACTATGATTAATCTAGACTAATACAATGTTAATTTTATTCTATTTCTTTCTTCTGAATCGTGTACAGTTTATCATCTGGATTCATCGTAGTGCTGATGGTATTAAAAAGCTTCCATGATGACTAATTTTTTCTTTTAAATTTTTTCATTTCTTTCACCTTATATATAAAAGCATGTCCTGACACAACAAGGGTGAACTGAATTACATTTAAGCCAGCAATAAGGCTTTCATTTGATGTAGTTCTGACAGAAAACCACTTTAGAAAATGTGATTTGACCATAATGCATTTTAAGAACTGAATAACCCAACTGAGCATGTAGACTTGGCATCTGTAGACAATATCAAAGAAACAGTGTATTTTGTCCTAATTGCCATCATTATATCTGAAAAAAAAAAAAACTGGAGAGAGGTTATGGAATATGTATTGGTTCATTTCCCACCTGAAATTATTTCTACTGCTTTTTTCCCCTATATGGATGACTTTTTGAGCTTGAGCTACTGGAAACACTCTTCTTTGGCATAACACTATTTCAATCTTCCAGAAATGCTATTGCTACTGTTATTATAGTTCCAGTATGATCCTTCTGGCATTTTCACCAAATTCAAATTATACTAGACTAAATTAATTTTAACTATACACTATTACAATGTATATAACACAGGAAAGCCAACATTAAATATTAAAAACCTCACTAAATGAAAGTGCAGTTCTACTTAATGGGCCCCAAACTATAATAATTCAAAATGATGGAGTAAATCAGATAAAATCCAGTAAAAATGTAAATTTTCCCTTCTTGCCTTTTAGATGTTAAATGGTTTAAAACTTACCTCCCCTCAAAGCCTAGATAATTCCTATCTTTATGTCTCTATATTTTTAAGAATGCTCTGCATGTAAAGGACATTTTCTTGTGGGAGAGCCTGGCCATCAGATCACCTGCCAGGGGATCATTTCCTCAATGTTCTGTGCTTCATAGTCAGGAAACACAACATAGTAGGAGTAGCTTGCGCTCTTTATTGCTCCTAAAAGTCTTTTATGAGAAGACAAGGCCTCTCTGAGCAGCTGGAAGCTGTAATGGTAGACCAGCCCTTCTGTGGTAGGGTTGCTACTGACTTTTCTAAACTCGTTGAAGCGGACTTGATCTGTCTGAAGGAGACAAGAGTTTTGTTCTCTACTGGCTGGATCTAAACAGAGCTAAGCCTCTTTCCTGCTCTGATTTATTTGTTCTTCCTTACAGTTCTGAAAGAGGGAGAAGAACAGGAATATGTTCCTTCTTCCCAATAAATACCTAGTTTCTTTCTCACAGGGTTTATGGGAAAAGGGTGCTGGACATCTTTTACCATACTCATCTTCCAGACTTAGATGTACAAGAACAAATTTTACTTCATGAGAGCATAAACTGAGCATATGTTCTTGGGAGGGAGTATTAGCAGTGCATTCTGACTAAATGACAGAAATGGTGTACGTGATTAACATCTTCCCTTGTAGTATAGTATGAAAATGTTTAAAGAAAAGTCCCACAGAATATGGTTGTTACAGACTTTACCATATTACCCTATAGTAATTATAAGCAATAGGAGCATCCAGCAAGTACATGCAAGATTTTCATCTGATAAAAAGCATGTTTTTAAACAATCAGTGGCTCTGAATGTCTTTTTTGATAACTTTAATCTTTGAAATTCCCAGAAAATGCATATAAAAATGGATGTATAGATGATGGTGCACATATACACATGAAGCTGTAACTCAAAGCCTCAAGTATCCTCCCTCTTGCTCTCTTGCCTTTTTCCTTGCCAGGCATAGCCATTCTCAGGACTGGAATTCTGAGTTTAGTAACTGCAATGGAGACATCTGAAGCTACTGCTGACCACTTTTTGGTAAAACGGCACATCTACCTCTTGCAGGCTCCTGTTGAGTAGGAGACTTTAATCCTGACACCTTTCTAGGCTTCTGATGTCTGATGAGGTTCTGGCAGTGCATTATGTGACTGCCATACATCACTTTCTGCAAAACAACTTCAGATCCCATTAAAATGCAGCAGATGTGATGTCCTTTCACTCAGCACTGGCCTTCATACCTGCACTACCTCAAACTGCAATTGTAGCACGACTACGTTGATTGCATCTGAGGTTCACTGTACTGTCATCTCTGCAACTGACAATACTGAATCTAGGTCCATAGATGCTGCTCCTACACCCTGTAGGATAGCACACTCTGTTTCATCTCTAATAATTTCTTTTGATTATGAAATATTCTTTCTGGACAGCCAAGGATGTGAAAAACAATCTGTTTGCAGACAGACTCCCAACAAAAGAAACAAAATTTAATTAGCCATTATTGATCTAGATATTTTCCTAAAATGAGAAAAATCAGAACGCAGTACAGAGAATAATAGTGCAAATTGTCATTCTGTTTATTTGCTATGACTAACTCAAGACAATATCCTTTTGTCTTAAGCAGGCAGCTCACACTGAGTGTAAACCCAGTAATTTATGTTTGAAAGGTACCACGGGGGCATGCACATTTGCTGGCTTTTACACATCCGTCTTCATCATCAGTAGAAAACCATAAGGAATGAGTAGGGCTTACCAAGGAACCTTGAATTTGTATTAGCTATCACATTGACTTCACAGCTGTATTCATTTGAGGTACATCTTGTATTTAGTCTCTTGATTTAAAGCATGAAATCTCTAATTCAGGAACAGTTATATATTTAGTTTAATGCTCCCATATGAAGTGTAAATGCTCAGTTCAGTAGATGTGAGCAGGGAATGTGAATGTATATTACACACTTGCTGCTGTCAGTTGTAACCCTTGTAAAATATGACAAAATTATGGTGCTAAAGCAAAACTTTTTATAATGAGCTAGTTATACAAGATTCACTGCACTTAATAAATAGAGGGATTGTGCAGTTTGATAAATATTAATAAAGAATACCTACAAGAACTGGTTGCACCTTTTTAAAATCTTTCTTCAAATGATGAAACCTAATCATTAAGCTTTGCACTCGGTCAATCATACTTTAATTGCTGAAAACATTACAAAATCGTT